AACTTTGATTACTTACTATGAAAAAGACTATTGCTCACCTTGTTCATGTCTTGAGACAGCACAGTAAAGTGCTGCGGGATAAAATATTCCTGACAACACTCGCCTCCTTTTTTATCGGCCATTGTTATATCAAAATGTTACTTAGAAGTACAAAAGTTTTTGAACATGGAAAGAATAAACGATTACAACTGACCCTTCATTACCCATTTACAAGAAATTAGGTATAAACCCGTTATATTGTGGCGAGAAGTATTCATGAGGGTCTGGATGGGGTTTACAGAATAGAGGTTAATGGGCAAAATGTGCAGAATGTGCAGAATAAAGGGCTAAAAAATAAAGAAAAGATGATAATAGGCAAACAAAAAAAATAAAGAATAGATAATAATGGGGCTCTAAAATATAAAGAATAGAGAATAACAGGCAAAATTTATAAAGAATAAACAAATTAAGAATACAGAAATGAAGGACATACCCCCCACAATCCACACGCTCATTCATCACATACAACTTTTTGCTACATTTCATAAAAAAAACTACGCTTTTAAGTACATTGTATGAAGTCATTTTTAGTTGGATTTCAATCAACATGGTACCATTAGAAGCAAAATTATCACATATATTTATTTGTTTATATATAACACACTGATCTGAAATTTGCTATATATTTTAACCAAATTGGTTTGCAAAATATTATTATAAATGTTCACATCAGGAGTAAACAAAAACAACCGAAGATAAATTTTTGACCAAATAACAAAATATACTTCTGACAATTCTGTGTCTTTCATCACATGGTAAAAGATATAAACAGTTGAATTCGATGAATAAGAGAATGCCGTCGTTCATTTTACCGGCATCAGTTTAAACAAAAAAATGGTACGGAAAATGGCTAAATCTGGACTGGAACAGCGTCACCTAACATTGGCATATGAATTAACGTGAGGGGTCTGATGGTGTTGCCAATCTCCACTCTGAACTTTTTTGGGGGGAAACCCAGAGTCCCAAAAGACAGAAAAATTATAGCTTCAGTTACATCTTTTATTACATCAGGACATAAGAATGATTTCTTTTTAATTTTATTACTATTTTTGTGTTCATTTACTAACAAAGTCTTTCCGTCTGAAATGTGTAATTAATTCATGATGTATATTTATATTGAACATACATTTTTTTACAGCTGTTATAATTTCATTTAAAATACAAGTCCATGAAAGAAGGTCTTGTTATAGGGACTACAGAATACAGAATAATGGGCAAAAGGTGCCGAATATAAGGCACAATATAAGACACAATATAAGACACAATATAAGGCACAATATAAGGCACAATATAAGACACAATATAAGGCACAATATAAGGCACAATATAAGGCACAATATAAGGCACAATATAAGGCACAATATAAGACACAATATAAGGCACAATATAAGGCACAATATAAGACACAATATAAGACACAATATAAGACACAATATAAGACACAATATAAGACACAATAGAAAAAAGAAAAAAATAGGCCCAAAAAAATAGAGAATAACGGGTTGGTTACATTTAACGAATAGAGAATACTAGTATTAAAAAATAAAGAATTGATAAATGAAGGACCCCTACAGAGGCGGATCCAGGGGGTTGTTACACGGTGCACGTGACCCCCTGTGTTGACAAAAATGGTGCAGCAAGTCCATAGATATAAGAAGATGTGGTATGAGTGCCAATGAGACAACTCTCCATCCAAGTCATATTTCATTACAATATTTTGATTAATTTATCAATTTGTCTATCATTGATAATAACTTACATGTATCTTGACATCTTAATCGTTGATAACATGTTTCTCTTTAACCATTTCTGTTTAACGATCGTTAATTACTTCTTCGATTCCTTTGAAGTGTAGGTGTGTAACTGAAGAGAACGTCCTCAATCTTAGATGTTTTCAGTAGGTAGCTTATAATTTTATTTATATAAAGTTTATCTAAATCCTAAAAGTTTAAATTTGTATGGCAACTTTTCTGACCACGGTTTTCTACTGTGATGACTCTATCTGTGATGCCAAAATTCATATAGAGGGGGGGTCAACATTCTTGGTCCTTTACCCCTCTTCTATCAATTGTCTAAATTTTCAGGCATTTTACATTTTTTGTAACCTTTACCATCTGTCCCTCAGGAAACGCCACAAATCAGCCCCTTCTGAAGTACCAACGACTCGTAATAGACCTAGCTTTGATACGAGCAATAATGGTGATTGTTATCATGAAACAACCCCCAACATACATATTGGTATAAACGACATTGGCCTTGTGAAGCTATCAACGCGTCAAATAACAAATGAAAAAAAAAATAATTTTACATGGAATCATTTTCAACCATGCAGGAACTGTAACTTTTTCTTAAAGAAATACGCAGTGACAATTTTGAGAACCCTGGCATAAACCATAAACTGATATGGCACATGCTTGTATTAGACTAAACGAACATCTCGGCCGGGAGGACAAACCTTGTTAATTTTTAAGAGCCGCTCTGAGGAAAGAGCCAATGAGAGACGATATTGAGAAAAAGACGATCAATATACAAACTTTTATTGATGTACATGCATTATAATTTACATTTAGAACTTGATGTGATCGTTGACACGTTTGCACGCAGGATTCCACGAAAAATGAAATTGGAATCAATTTTATTAGTCTTGTTTAACCATTTGCTTTATTTCTTACTATTTTCATGACATTGATATCAATAAAACAAAATTTGATTTTATAAGAGTTCGTATTAAGGTGACCTCCACTGACAAAATTGTATCCGCCCCTGCCCTATCCAGACCCTTATGATAAAAAGAACCTATCAATAACGATATTTCCTGACGTCATGATTTGTGTTAATTTTTGGTTCAAATTTTAAAGTTGCGTCGCTTCTACAGGGAAAACGATGTCGGTGACCATATCTTTTTTTTATATCATTTAAAAAACACTATGTACTCTGTCACATAATGTAGACGAAAAATAAGGAGTTTCCCCGTATATATTCAATGTAATTCAATATCCTCTAGACCCATTTTAAACATGGCTTTTTCTCGATAACGAAGTCGGTGACATATACTTTTTTTACATTTTTCGATGTACATTTTCAATATCTAATCGAGTACTAAATAAAAAAATCTATGTACTGGCCATGCATTTACTCATCCTTGACCTTAAATCTACCTCATCTGGACTCTGTTGGAAGGTCGTCTCATCGCGGCAATCCAAATGGATAAATCCGACATATTTGAACTTAATAATATAAATACATTTCATTTGGATTAAAATACAGATCCTGTGTCCAAGTTTTGTTTACATTCTGCAGTCCCTATACAAATGAGGAGATGTGGAATAACTGCCAAAGTCTGACATCAATTTAAGTAAATATAGAATAGGTCATCGTACGGCCTACAACAATGAGTATAACATCCATACCGAACCGTAACACGTTGAGAAAAATTAGCATAATAGGCTTATATATATAGAGTTGTCTCATTGGCACTCATACCACATCTTCTTATATATATTTACATGCACCGCATACTTTGCAAGGTGGATTATTTTGCCAAACATTTTGAGAGAATCATGAAAGATTCGAACTACACAACCTTGACCCTAATATGTTATCATTTTGGCGTTACGCACAATGTTCTTACACAGGTTACAATATGATTTTTAACTCTTTATTTAAAAAGAATGGACACTGCTAAGATGACTGCATGATTATATATTTTTGACACGATATACTCACCCTTCCGGAGCACCTGATGTGATCCCGGTTTTTGGTGTGGTTCGTCTTGCCCAGTCTTTAATTTTCTGCGGATAATGTTTACTTTACAGATCAAAAACATTCAATACTGGCTAATTTTGATCTTCACAACACAAAAATTGGTGACAAAACATTGATTTTTTTCTGCTTTGTCGAAAGTAGTTTATTTTATAGCCTTTTCAATTCTTTTTCTTTTCGACAAAATTTTGAATTCTTCTGCTTTGCCGAAAGCAGTTTATATCTTTTCCAATTCTATTTCTTTTATAAAAAGTAACGGATGAACGACATATATAGCTGCAGGAAGCTCAAAATTTAAGCAATCAAGGCTCTTTTCCTCTGTATTATTTTTAAGTTGCGTTTACTTTCAGCACGGTTATTTTAAAACAGAATATATCATAGCAGTGATATCAAGGCTTCTGGTTGCAGTAGATACATCTGTCCTCGTTTCCATCACTTTTGTCTGAAATTGAAAGCAATGAAACTATAAAACACCGTGAGTAAAATATTTTAGTATATATATATAAACACTATTTTATTTAGAAAACAAATAAATAAACACGTAGGTAAAGCAATACAATATACAACTATTGGAAAACAAAATATGTTGAGTTACGTCATGGCAATGGGAAGCAAACAGCAACCCAACCACAAAATAATCAAAGACATCGTGGCTAGAGGGAAACACATAGTCTTCAACAATAGACATAGTTATTAAAGTTAGATAGGTCAAGAACAATGAAATACAAATAGACAGTAAATACGTTTTTTCTATACATTGATTAGAACGAATTTAATCTGCTTGCTAACCGAGTCCCTGTGCTGCCAATACCTCAGTATCAACACAAAAATTTTCCAAACAAATATAACTTTTAAATATAACAAAAAAAAAGTTTTCATTGCTTAATATGATTTATAATTGTGGTTTGTTCAATGATTTATATTATCTACTATCTACTATATAAATCCTTGGTTTGTTTCTTTCTTGTTTGTTAATATTTTGTGTTATTGTTGTTTGTGGATTATTTCTTTGTTATTCAGACGATTTAAAAAGCTCAATAGAGCTTGTGTGAATATCGACTTTAAATCAAACTTTGCAGTTGAATTATTATTTTTTGCAAGGAATTGTATATTTAAATATACAATTCCTTGTTTTTTGTGACATTATACAGAGCAACGAAAGATAACTCTATGCATTTTTTTCTAACGTCGTAAGCGGTTGTTAATAACCTCAGCGACATTTGGTGATCAGACCAAAACGGACACGGACAAGCTTGGGCGTAGCAGTCAGCTTATTAGAGACAACACCTGGCAGGGTACATCTATTACAGGTTTCTATGACGATCAAAACACTCTAATCTGTACAGGCTACTCAAATTATGCAACGAGAGGAATTTGTAAATCAACATTTGCGATCCACTTTTTGACATCGTCCCGTGTCCGGAGTCATAACATTTTACATAGCAACAAACAAAGTTCTTTAATTTTAGACATTTAGCGACAGTTCCTTACAATAATTTACAAAATGTAAAGTAATCCCAAAACATTGAAGACGTTTTCAAAATGACATCAATCAGTTAGAGAAGACGTTTCGCTGATATTAATTGGACTTTGCATCTGTAAATACCTGAACATGGCCGAGGAAAACGCACCAGATTTTGCACATAGGCTGTCACAAAGACTACATCTGAATGATATTCATGTAAAACCACAACTCATTCTTGGCGAATCTTCAGAATTTGATGACATATTCTTATCAAAATCAAAACAGCTCCTCTCTGTTAAAGAGTACAAATTGAACCATGGTGAAGACATTGAATCCCGAAGCACAGACTCAGAAAGTTCGAGTGAAGTTGGAGATTTATTTAACACAGAAGTCAGCTGCTATCAAGTATCTGTCACATCATTTATTGTGATATCATTAACATGTTTAGCTGTTTTGTTTTGTCACCAGTACATCAAGAAACTATTGATCTGGTTGGAAGATGTAGATCTTACTGTTGGTTTCCTGATATTTATTTTACTGTTTACTCTAGTGTCTTTTCCAGTGGCTTGGGGCTACATGTTGCTGATGCTAGCATGTGGATATCTATATGGTTATATTTATGGACCATTGGTTGTGACATTTTTTGGTGCTGTAGGAATTTTAATTGCACATTTGACAATGAAACATTGTTGTAGAGATTGGATTTTGACAAAGTTTTACAACAGACAAATAGAAGCCTTTATAACTGTTGTGGAGAGTAAACAAGGATTTAAAATAGTTGCACTTTCCAGGCTGACACCAATTCCATTTGGTCTACAGAATGGTATATTCTCAGTAAGTTTTAAAATAAGGAGAATGGAAAAGGGTTGCATGTATTATCATACAACTTGCATTGTTTGCCAGTGTTTCTTTTCACCTATATATATATATTTGTTTGCTAAAAACATATGAAAGAGCAGTTAGTCCACGGGTTATGCAGTTAGGTTGAAATGCATAAATCCTTGTTATTCAAGCCTTAAAGAACTAGTTTTAAAGATTGTGGAAAATATGTAACTTTTTTATTCATGTTCTTGTGTACACGTAAAATTACCCCCTTAATGCAAGCTAAATAGCCTAGGCCTGCATCTTGCAAGATTTACTAATTTTCACAATACAAATGTATATAAATTATCAATGATGTTTCATCAACCCCACCTTTTCAATTCATGCATATTCAGGACCCCACCTTTTTATCTTGATCTGTAGAATACTAAAAGATAAGTCTAGAAGAACGTACAAGAAACCATGAGATTTTAGTTAAAAAAAACCCAACTTGGCTCTATAAAGTTGGTATAGCATATCTTGTACATGTACAAATGTATATAGTTATTAAAAAACACAGGTACATGGTACTTTAGTACAAATTAAATAGTTCTAAATACATGTACATGAAATAATACTGAATCAAAATTTTGTGCAGTTGTCATAGTCATGAAAACAAACTCAACTTAAAGTATTTACATGTAACTCGTTTTTATAGAAATAATTCAAGCCTACACTACACATACAAGTATCAGCGACTGTTATTCAAGTTACATTGTACAATGTTGTACATTTATTATATTTTATACCTTTATTTCATACATCAATGCCATTAGCAGTGTCTGAGGGGAAGATATTGTATTATGCACTGTGACATCAGTAAATTTGTATACATGTACATGTAGCACTTCAAATTATATGTTACAGTGAATTTGTAGAATTAAGGATTATGTATAATCCCTGAAATTTTCAGGGATTACGCATAATCGCTGGTAACTTTAGTGATTATACTTAATTTCTAAAATTTTCAGGAATTATGCATAATCACTAGAAAACATGTCAGGGATATCAATTCTACATAATAACTGGAATGAAGAGACAATGAATAAAAAAAATATAATTTATTCTATAAAATCATATTTAAACATCTTAAAAGACATAAATATCATAATTTTAAGCACAATATTCTAATACGAACCATATATTTTTCTAAATTATATTGTTAATTTGGATGATATCTACTATGAGGGTCTGGATGTGGGGTCCCTCATTTCTTTATTCTTTAATTTTTTAGATTATTTTTTTCTGTTCTTTATTTATTTTGCCACTTACAATGTATTCTCTATTCTGTATATTTTATCACCCTATTACTCTCTAATCTTATTTTTATGCCCCACCTAGTATAGGGGCATTATGTTTTTCGGCCTGTGCGTCCATTTGTCTGTCTGTCCTGCTTCAGGTTAAAGTTTTTGGTCAAGGTAGTTTTTGATGAAGTAGAAGTCCAATCAACTTGAAACTTAGTACACATGTTCCCTGTGATATGATCTTTTTAATTTTAATGCCAAATTAGAGTTTTGATCCCAATTTCATAGCATTGAACATAGAAAATGATAGTGCGAGTGGGGCATCCATGTATTATGGACACATTCTTGTTTTTATCTATTTTTTATTCTTTAGCCCTTTCTTTTGCACTGGTTGTCCATTATTCTCTATTCTGTAAACCCCATCCAGACCCTTTACTATTGAACAGCTGCGTTTTTTTTTTTGTTTTTTTTTTCCAAGTAAAAAAAACCTTAGCCTTCACATATATACATGTATTGAATCAGATTTTACTACACTTTGAAGAAAAATAAAGTGTTCATTAGAAACATCTGAAGGTGCTAAAAAGGTCAATCAGATACTGTACCTCAATTGATTGCTTGTATATTATCTGAGCATAATTTCATGTTTTGTAGTCGGTCATTATTCTTTTCAACCCTTTTATGAACGATGGCCATCATGTGTTCTGTTTGTGTTTCTGAACGTTTTGTTGCATTTCTTTGCATAGTTTAATTTCCATGTTTGTTAACTTTCATCCCCTTTGTTTTACAGCAAATTACACGATCTGTACATGTACATTTATGTTAGTATTATTAATTTCAATTTAAAACACTTCTTTGTTAATTAGTTAATGTGGTTTAACACAGTTAAAAAGAATATTCAAAGTATAATATTTTTGTCCCTGTTGTATGTTCAGTAAGATTAATTTAAATTATTGTGCACCAATGTGTGCTTGTTTATAATAATGTATACAGAGGCAGATTAAGAGGGTTTTCCAGGGGGCCCGGGCCCCCTTTTTGTGGGAAAAATTTGGTTGATTATTTAGGGAATCACTGAAGCTTTACTGGAGTGGGCCCCCTCTTAAGCAGTCAGTGGGCCCCCCTTATGAAAATTTCTGGATCTGCCACTGGTTTAGTTTTATGTCATTCACCTTGTACTTGCATTTAAAACAATGTGAAAAAAATGAGAAATCTAACACATTCATCATTATTTTGTATATGCATGTTGATGTTTATAAACAATTCCAGATGTTACCTCAATGTCTTTGAAGAACAAAATTGTAATTGATTATGTGGAAGGACAAATGGAAATTAGATATTATAACTACATGTTACATGTAATGAAAGTATAAACAACTTAAATTATGCAAATACATTCATGACATTATATTACAAAATGTAGAAAAGCAGTACTCAATTTTTGATACCTCAAATTGACAATACCCTTGCTTATAGTAAGTTTCTATGATTCAAAATTTATTAAATATACTGTTACTCTTTATTTATGATTTAGTAAAAATGTAACATACAAAATGAATAATTTTTAAACAGTTGATAAGAAAATTATATGATGCATTGTCCATGTACATATGTAGTAATTGAATAAAATTCATCTATATATCTATATATATATAGCTAGCTGTGCAATGAATTGTCAAAAAAAAACAATTAGTCACTCATTTTTCAATTTACAAAGGAGACAGCTACACATGCCAAGAAGAATTGATCCATTATGAAAAAAGATAATAGAAAAGGTTGGGTACTTTAAAATAAAAAAGACAATAGAAAAAAAACTGCAATACACATGTACATGTATTATGAATGGCAAAGTGACAACAGACATTAATATTTCCAATATTGGGATTTCATCTAATGAATAGTTTCCACATTAATAATTTACATTTACTTATGTACTAAATATCATGCAGCTATAGTTGAAATATTTCTTTTACAGTTAACAAATATTCCACTTTTAAAATACTCAGCAGCATCAGCCATAGGATTAGGTCCAACAGCTGTATTGAATTGTTACATGGGATCAACTTTACGCTCCATGGAGGACGTCTTGTCTGATGGATCTAGTGCTACCACAGGTTACATCATTTTTGCAATACAGGTAAATATACATGTTAGATTATAAAGTCTTGCTACTTTAGTGCAGAAATGTAGTTCACAGCTGTGACATCATATATAGAAATGTAATTATTGACATTCAAACATGGTAAATTTATATACAAATGTAGGTTTTGGGTAATATTAAATATAAGCAACAACCTAATCACCAAAAATGATACAGTTTAATATCTTTCTACATTTTGTTGCAAAATACCATTTTGAAAGTTTTTAAAAACAAATTTGTGAGACAAATAAAATTGAGAATGGAAACAGGGAATGTGTCAAAGAGACAACAACCCGACCAAAGAGCAGAAAACAGCCCAAAGCCGCTAATGGGTCTTCAACAGCGAGAAAATCCCACACCCGGAGGCGGGATTCAGCTGGCCCCTAAACAAAATGTGTACTAGTTCATCGAAAATGGACGTCACACTAAACTCCGAAACATATATATGAACCAAAATAAAAAAAACATACAAGACTAACAAAGGCCAGAGGTTCCTGACTTGGGACAGGCGCAAAAATGTGGCGGGGTGAAACATGTTTTGTGAGATCTCAACCCTCCTCCTATTCCTCTAGCCAATGTAGAAGAAATAAACACACAGCAATACACACAGTAAAACTCAGTTTAAAAGAAATCAGAGTCCGATGTAAGAATAGGTAACAGAAGGAACTCAATTAAACTGATTGAAAGATTATGTCTTTGTCATATGAAAATCAAGCACAATCCCTCCCGTTAGGGGTTTAGTATCATACATTTGTACCATCATAAAATATAAGAGAAGAACATAACCTGTATTATGCCAACAACTGGTTTTAGAATAAATGTGTTTATTTCCGATGCAAAGACCCTATGAGTGAATCAATATTTATTCCAAAAAATGCCATCTTTAATGACCTGACAACAGTATCGTAACTATATCCCTTCTGAATAAGTCTGTTTAAAGGTTTGGTTAGCTTTTGAGGTGAATGACTACATTTTTGTTCTTTGTATAGGTTATTACCATTAATCATTGGATGTAAAATACCTGAACGAATAAGATGTCTGCACATTGATTTACATTTCAGAGTGATGTCCTTGTACCAATGATAAAATTTAGTAAATATTTTGACAAGTTTGTGATATCGAAAACCCTGGTGTAATAATTTTTCAGTTATACAGAGATTTCTTTCATTAAAATCAAATACGTTGTTACATACACGAGCGAATCGAACAAGTTGAGATATACAAACACCATAAGAATAAAGATCGTGACAAGGGAACGTCACCATCTAAAAATTAAGAAATAATTCTTTCATGCCATACTTTATGCTCATTTTAACATGGGTAGGCATTATATTTGTCAATATCTTTATACCGAGCGTTAACGAGGTGTAAAATATTGACAAATATAATGCCTACCCATGTTAAAATTAGCATAAAGCATGGTATGATTGATAGAATTATTTCGATTCTGATAGGAAAAATTAGAACTTTTGTACTTCGAAGCGGACCTATAATACACGTTCGAAAGGCAGCCATTTTGATTTGATGAACCAAAAACGTTATAGAAAATCAACAGTTCCACAATAAAAAAATTAACATATATATGTAAACTTTCTTTTAGAATGATTTTAATTAATTTCCTAGCGAGCAACACCAACAAAAAGATCCATTTCGATCTCCGGCATTGTTCAAAATACAACTGACGTTGCAATTTCAATTGTGACGTCAATCACGTGCAGCCCATATTTTATTGTAATTAGAGCATGGCTTTGTTTCCAAAGCGAAAGAAGAACGTCATATTAGAATGGGTAATTAACAATAGGAAATGAAAAATCATCTCTTTTATCATAAAATTTGATATTAAGCTTCCCGTTAAAGATATAGATACATACTGAAGTCGTCTTTATTGAGACTAGATATTTGGATGTATATTGGCTCTCATTCATGGAGAGCCAATATAACATCCGAATATCTAAAAGTGTTATTGAATTTTTGTATCAGATGTTGTTTTGATGGGTCTTTGCTGATTTTAGTAAAATTTGAATTTGTTATCACTCATATTTGTCAGACTAATGTCTTGTGAACATCTGATAGTTATTATATGATAAGTCAGAGTTAGGTTTATGATACTTTATGATTTATCAGTTCAAGGGGGGTGGGGGGGGAATGGCCTAACCAAACTTTTTGCCCTGTAAATAAAATTTTAATTTACATGTCTTATTGTAAGTTTGTTCCCATAATTTAATGTACATGTGATATATAAGCCTTTGAAGGTCAATATTGTTTGTTTCAACGTATATGAGCTGTTCAGCATTGATAGTAACAAAAAAAAAATCCAATATGAATAAAAATGAAAGAAAACATTATGATAATTTTAGTATTTGCATACTTCTATCAGTTTGATTTTTAAAAGGTTATCACTTTGAGAATCTTTTCAACAGTTCACCTATTACAATATTATAGTCATGCATCATATTGTTTGGAAATAATCATGAATTCATTAAAAAGTCGACAACAATCTACATATACATGTACTTAATATGAGCTGTATGACACATGTAATTGATGAAATGAATGAGATTTGAGTGATATTTACATATATACAAGTGTTATCAAGTCCTGTGACCATTGTATCATTCGAAGTAGGCTATCATTATCTGATTATGTAAAAGTATAACCAGACAGATAATAGTGATATGATGTGAACATACATATATTATATAATGATATTAAATGATAGATATAGAATTTTATTGATCAAAATGCTTAGTTGTCTCATTGTCAATCAATCCACACCTCCTTAGACTCTGGTGAATAGTTGTCTCATTGGCAATCAATCCACATCTCCTTAGACTCTGGTGGATAGTTGTCTCATTGGCCATCTATCCACATCTCTTTAGACTGTGGTGGATAGTTGTCTCATTGGCAGTCAATCCACATCTCCTTAGACTCTGGTGGATAGTTGTCTCATTGGCCATCTATCCACATCTCTTTAGACTGTGGTGGATAGTTGTCTCATTGGCAATCAATCCACATCTCCTTAGACTCTGGTGGATAGTTGTCTCATTGGCAATCAATCCACATCTCCTTAGACTGTGGTGGATAGTTGTCTCATTGGCAATCAATCCACATCTCCTTATTTTATATTCAACCGACATTCAGTAAATAATGATATTGTATGTAAGACCAAAATTTCTAGATTGTCCTTAACTTTCACTTTAGCTATTAGTTATTGACCTGGTTTCACTTTCACTTTATTTGTGACAGTTACATGTAGACATTTAAAAAAAAACACCAGGGTGCACTCATTTCAATAGTTAAATGGTTGTTCTAAATTTAATACTAAAGCTGTGAATTATTTCAGCTCTGCTTTTAAAGTCTGTCAAAATGAGTGCAGCTATTTAGTGGAGTGTCCCACTCAGTCTCAGACAACATTTATTGTCATCCTAGAGGTCCTAAAATATAAATTAAGGTCTAAATTTTGTTAGGATGCTATTTCTTAGAAGTGATTCTACATTTTCAAAAAGGGAGCCAGAAAATCAAGCTTCCCTGTATATTCTTGATCAGAACTATATGCTTTGCTTTGCAAGTTTACCGTGAAAGTCAACAACTTTGGATTAAACTTCTGAATCATTGTCAGATCAAACTTGGACCTTATCGATAACAAAAGGTTAACGGTCAACTTGAATCTTTCAACATCACAACACTATGAGTTCAGATCAATCATTGACATTATTGATAATGGATGGGAAGGTCATTGGTCATATCAAACCTTTCAACACCACAAAGTAGTGACTTGTACATGCAAAATGACAAAAAAGTAGGGAAATGCTACTGAGAAAGTCATATCAACCTTTATAGCAAAAGACTTCAATGTATATTATGTGAAACTTTGTACTTATATTTGGAACAAAATTTTTATGTTTTTCCAGATCATTATAACAGTTATCTTGCTGACCTTTGTCGTACGTAAAGCACGAGCAGAGTTGAAGAAAGCGGTTGAGGGAGACAATTCTAAAGCACAGATAGTGCCTTTAACAATAGATGATGAGACTGTTGTCTTGGTAGCACCAGAAATATTAAAGTCACAAGGAAGTTGAACATATGGGAGATAATTCCGTAGAAGTGGAACGTAAGGGAGATTATTCTTCAGTGCCTTTATGCAAAGAGAGCTACAAGAATAAGAGATTGATTGACAAGTTTATTAAGTCTTTCTTCTGTAGTGCAGTAGTATTGTTATAAATGTCTACCTCCTACAAACCATTCCTTTCTCTACCATGTCTATTTTCCATTTAAATATAAAATAAGATAAGTTGCAAGAAAAATGATTATTTTTTTTCAAAATCTGTCAAGCATCTGCTTCAATTAACATGCACATATAAATCTTTATTAATTTTTATCTTTTTTAAAATTAGTCTAGGATATTTACTATTTATTAGAACAGTTTCAAAATATTTAAGATATTTTAATCTAAAAACAAGATATCTGATGATAAATTATTGATATAGGGATTCTTCATAAATCATAATCTTTTTCATGCAATATTAAAAATGTATCTTTTTTTTTCTTTTAATAAACTTTGTTTGATATACATTAACACAATGCAATTTTATACTTGTAAATATTGTTAAATTTTGAGGGTTTTTTGTACTAAATGATGTGTTGTATGGAAAATGGGCATTTTTCATTTATTTCCATAAAATGTTTGATGTTAGATTTTGTTGTGTCTACATATAATGTGAAATATGAAAGGTTATGGAAAAACTAGTACTTTACAATTTGGTGAATGGTACTTTTCTTTAAAGAAATTATAGCATCAGCATGGTACAGTAGATTATATGATTACAAAATGTGATCAGGTGATAACCTTGTCCAAAAGTCAATAAAAAGGTGATTTTATCAAAAATCCCCATTGCTGGTGTTGAATGAATCACAGCGAAACAGGGTGATTGCTGGTGATTACAAGTGAAAATACTCTATATTTCGGTCATATACTATGTATTGAATCACCCTTAATCATCAGTATTTACTCTGAAATATCACTACCAAAAGTATCGTACCATGAGTCCTTATTTTATATCAAAACTTAGTGCTTCTATTAAAATGAAATCCAGATCTTATTAACTACATGTTTATACTGCTCTTTTGTGGAAGAACATATTAAGAGCTTGCTTTTAATCTCAAAAACATGAAGATGCATGTTGGGAACAGAACTCTTGATGCTAGTCAAAATTTAAGATTAAATTTGTATTTTGAAATTCAAGAAACCTACTAGTAAATTGTTAAGGCAGAAATTGTTACACCTACAAAAATTCCTAGCTAGGTCTTTTTTTTCTTCTTTTTTTGAATACCAAGAAGTTTATTCCAAAGAGATATTGATTTTACCAAGTACTAGAAAATCCAAAATGTTATGAAAACTTTCGATATCTTGTTATTTTAGGCTTTATTTGTTTTAAAAAAGTGATACATTTTAAATTTAATTTGAGTTATCAATACCCTCATGAGCCTTTATATTTAATATGCATATGAACAATTGGTATGCATGACTTAAATGCTCAAATTGAAACATTCCATTTTTGACAATCAATGTTTAAGTATAGTAATAGTACATGTAGTAGTCTAAAATACACACTGTAAATTTGTTGTACATGTATAATGTATATATTTATGATATCCAGACAGTATTGAAGGTTTGAAGAGATTATCTAGAATATTGATCAAGGCTAAAATAGAAACATTTAGGTGCATATAACAATTTAATATATCTATAGCTATAAATTTTAAGATAAAACACAAGTTTAAAAGATCAGGTTAGAAGAAAGCAAAGAAATAACTTACTGTATATGTACTTTTTTACACGAGTACTTATTTTCGCGATTTTGTTGTTGTCGATGAATTCGCGTGTATTTAATTTCGCGATATTTCCCAAAATATCAGAACATAAATTACAGACTTAAAATTCATAAAATTTTCATTAATTAGGTCTTCATTTATTTAACAATATGAAACAAAATAAACAAAGATTATTCAATCAAAAAATTAGTCCTGTGTTTTGATAGATGTTCAATAACCTGATTAAGTCGTTATAATTATTTAATATAGCTGTCATATTTAGCTTGGGATATTATTTTTCACCTTTTGTCCTTTTATTCTTAATTAAATTTCTGTAAAAATAACTGGTGTTGTTTTAACAGTTTCACGGTTCAATTGAGGTTAACTGAAGCCAACAAGGTGAACATGCATATACAGTTGTAAATTCCAGCGATATTTATTCAATGGTTTTTATATGCATGAAATCTGCATTCTAATTCATGTGTATTTATTTTCGCGAAAATATACCTACCGCGAAATTCATGAAAATAAATATGCCGCGAAAATGAGTACATATACAGTACATCTGCATCATTTGGTCTCGGGTGGATAGTCTTCTCAATGGCAATTATACCTGTAACTACATCTCCTTATTTTTATGATGGTCATCCTATTGTATTTATCTTTCATGGGCTTTACAAAACGCAGTGCAGGGTTTACAGAACATTCAAACCCTGGTTATGTCTGATATCCATTGTATCGTGAGATAAAAACATTGTCATAAAATCTTTAATCATGTGATTAAGGTTGTGTGATTATCTTTTAAATATTGTGAAGTTATTTTGATTTGTAGTGTATTTACAAAAATATTTTTTTTCTATGCAATGTTAATGATTGTTTCTTGACCACTTTTAAATTTTCTGATGCAATTTCTGTTTTGTTTGAAGTGTTTTTTTTTATCATTGAATGTTCAAGAAATCCTTTGTATTAACTCTAGACTGTTTATAAGAATTGTTGTGACTATAAAGGCCAAAAAATGAGTACATTCAAATCTTTGCTTATCAAAAAAAAATTTCTGTATACAGCACTTAATTAAGTCCAAAGAATGTTTTCCAAAAAATAAAGAAATAAATGACAGTCCTCCAAAAATTATTTTAACCTTTAAATTTAGAGTGAAATGAATTTATGCTACTATCGATCTGAGTATTCTAATCCTTTTTTGAAGGGAATATTAATTATAATATTACATGTACATTTAATTGGCCTTTCAGTTGTTCAAATATTTGTATTTGTTGTAAGTGCTATATTCAATTCAATTACAATGCAAATATTTATATTTTTAAGTGATTATGTCAACCAAAGCTATGACAGTTTTTTGTCATGCTTTGATTGAATGTATATATATATATTTATCATTAATTTATTTTCATACATATTGTATGTATATTATTTTCCATAGTCATTATATTTATAAGTTTCTATCCTCCAAGCTTAACTATTTATAGAGCAATAGGAGCTTTTCTTTTGTTTTCAGGGGGCTTCAATTCCTTGAAATTCTTTGACACTTTTCACTATGAATATATTAACCAGAAAATTCTCCAAAGATATGAGAACATTTTTGTCAGATTTTTTTCAAAAGTGCCACTTGATTCTTCCCTTTTTCATTCTTTTTTCATTGCCTATGTTTATATAGCATGTTTAGGTTTCTTGATCCTACCCTTTCTTTGATTTGCTTTAACTCAAATAATGACCTTTCACATTGCCCTAAGTAGTACATTGTTTGATTCCCTAAGTAAAGAAAAATTATTAACCATTCTTTGCTACTGTTTGATTCCCTAAGTAAAGAAAAATTATTAACCATTCTTTGCTACTGATTGTACTGATCTCAATTCTGTAAATTCAGAATTTTCTGTGTCGTTTTATTCTTTGTGATTGTTGAACAAAGGAAAAGAATTTTATTATTATTGCAATTTAAGGAATTTCAGAATACAAATAATGCTTTCAAAATTACTCATGTTTGTTCATATTTTTGTGTGAACTATACTGTTGAAATTTTTAGCAATTATAAAACCATAACCATTTCTGAATTTACAGTATTTTTGACTTTATCTAAATTGAAGTTTCATCAGCATTTGCTATGTGCCTAATGCATAGCACTAACACAAAGTATTTAAAGGATGTGTTCATTCGTTCTTACACTTAAGTAGGTTCTAGCATGTGATTTTCATTATAACTGCAGTTTAAATTGTCAGGTTTTGTACATTGTCATGTCTAAAATGATAGTTGCCAAAGCTAAGATTGTTTTTGACATTTGTTTGCAGTTGAGTGTCACTACAGTTATTTGTTTGTTAAGCAGGTTTTAGGTACTGGCGTTTTACTTACGATTTTTTTATATTTTTAAAACAACTCGGACATCATTTAATCAGTATTGAAAAATACTTCCAAAGCTCTGACAGTTGGGTTTATATATATATATGTATGTGAATTAAAGGAGATTAGGAATTAGCAGAGCAACCAATCATGTTTTTTAAACTATAACAACATTCAAAACCCATCTGCATACCTGCCAACTCTTTAAATGGGTGATTTTAAGCAGAAGAGGACATAAAATATCTCTAAGTCTAATACATGTCATAAGTGATTGAATATATACTCAATATACTTTTGAGTGAGCAAGTTGGTGCTTTAATGCTATTTAAACTCCTTTGAATTCCCTTTTTTGAGGAATTGTGCTCATATAATTGAAGATTTAAGGTATAAAGTCCACAACTCTCATCTGGGAACCCCCCCCCCCCCCCCCCCCCCCCATAAATCTGGAAGGTTGGCAGGTCTGCATTTGTCTTGTGATGCTGTTAATAGAAATCAATGACGTACCTGTGGCATCAAAAGCCAATGGCACAGATGATTTCAATGATGTCATTCAAGTTGTAGAACCAGTTGTAATTTTTAATGTATTTATTTTATTTTTATGTCCAGTTGTTGTATGATAAATACTACATACTAATAATACTTTAAAATACGGCAAAAAATATTGACGCAGATAATGATGTTCAATGAGAAATTAATGATATACTATGGCCTAACCATAGAATTGATGATTTCAATTATTTTTCACAAATTTAACAAAGATTCACAAATGTAACTATAGAATCACTATTTGATTCATATTTTTTTACCAATTAGAAATAACATGATAAATATGATTTTCAAATAACGTATTCAAATTAAGAAAGAAATTAATGACACATCCATGAAATGATGTTGATGATTTCAATGAGAAATTACTGATCTATTATGACCTAACCATAGTATTGATGATTTCATTCATTTTATGTAAATAAAAAACAATTCAGAAGGTTGGCAAAAGCAACTATAGAATCACTTAACACCTAAGATAAAACAAGTTTACATTAAGATGTAAAGCATAAATGTTTTACCCCAACTAAAATCTTTAATAAACATTCAAGACAACTGTCCATGGTCTATTCTTTCAATAAATATTTTAAACCATACCATATTACCAACATAACTTTTAAAACATGTTCAAAATAAGGTTTAACAAGATGCATGCTTCGCATATTTTCTGCATTAATAAGATTATAATTTTTAAATACTTCAATCTAAAAAAACATGGCTTTTTCTTTATTTTTCAATAATTGAGATTTATTATACATTTTCTCTCTTAAAAGGTATTATTAATAAATATTATTGATAGCTATTATTATTTTAATTCCAACACCTCCTTAAGTAATCTAAACTAAAGAAATTCACCTATACTATCACAACATATGATAATCAATTGTCTGTGGTCAATATGATTTACCAATAGATTGTATCAGGGAACAAAATTTAAAATGATCTCAGGTATGAACATGTTACATAGCTTTAATCAGTTAACCTAATCTCAGATTTACTCAAATTCTATTTAAGCAAATTTTGGTTCCAACATTTTTAAATAGCTCTTGATAAAAAGATTTCTTCAAATACATGAAAATTGGTAAACACCTGAATAGTTTATGCTGTAAAGAATAAGTCTAGTCCAGAATCAGACAGTGATTCATGAAACTAGGAATTCAACTCAGAAAATGTATTTCATTTTAGATTTCATTTCATCAGGCTTCAATTGCAATGAAATTCAAGGTTGTTTTATTCAGAAAGTGGTATAGATTGTCTCAAAATAAACTAATTAACTTCTTTTAGAATGATATAAGTGAAAGTAAGGCCAAGTCTGGCCTAGAAATCTTATGATTGCTGTCATGTATAAAACAGGATTTTGTTCATGTCCTCTTTCCTGTGATTGTAGATATGCCCTGTAAACTGCCAGGAGAGATAAAATATAAAATATTTACCATTTAATTTGGAGTTTAAGACTCCAAATTAGTTTTACTCAAACACACTGCAGCATCACAATTATATTCAGTGTTTTTGAAATCATGTTGTATGATTTTTATTTTTCAATCACCTGATTGTTTTAAAACACCAACTATATTTCATTATCCATTAAATTATGCAAGATATTTTTGATATTTATTTGAGTCAGAATTTATGCATGTTCAGTTATTTTATTTGACTATTTTACAACCCATAGCATTTACTTATATATCATGCATGTGTTTATTAAGGAAAGATATATTGTTACATGCTATATATTTATTCCATGCAAGAGATATTTTCCATCCTGAGGGAATTTAATAAACATATTTTGTCAGATATTTAGCCTTGTTTTTGATACCATTCTTTTGAATAAAAGGGGATGTGTGGTTATTTCAATGAGACAGCAATCCCAAAAAAATAATATAAAAGGGTTGGCATGCCAGGTCAGGAATTTAAACAGACGTAGAAAATGTCAATGAAGTGTTGGCAGCACACAAGACAACAATCCACTGAAATACTGAAAAACAAATATAAACTTTACCTTTACATTATATGGAAGTTTATGTCGAGCCTGTAAAATTTATTTCGGGAAAGAGAGACAGCGATCCTAAATTCCGTCATGGGCAGTGTCAACATTAAGGTTCAGTCTGTGGTTAAAGTTTTTTTGGTGGACATCAATAACTTTGTCAAACCTACATGGAATTAGATGAAATTTGGACAGAAGCTTGTTTATGACCAAAATACAGTATCCAGAGCAAAACTTTAAAAATATTTATTTTCATTTTTCCGTATTTTACTGATGAATGGACTTGTTTTTTTTTACATTTAACAAATAGATACAGTCTGGGGTTAAGGTTTGTTACACATCAAATACTTTGTCAAACCTTCATAGAATTTAATGAAACTTTTTTATGATTAAGAGAAAATTTCTGAAGCACACTTTTGAAAATATATTTTCATTTTCAGTATTTTTCTGATAGATGGACTTTTTTTACAGTTCTCATTTACTAACAGTCTGGGATTAAATTTTTTTGACATAAGTTTGTTAACCTTCATGGATTGTTATGAAACTTGGACAGAAGCTAATCTTCAAGACCAAGAAATAGCATCTAAAGAGAAAGTTTGAATCTTTTTAACATTCTGTATTTTACTTATAACTGGACTCACTTTTAAAGTCAACATTACACTTTTACACTGACAGCAGCAATCGTAGGCAAGACACAGGGTTCTGCAGAACCCCTTACAATTTTTTTTTACAGAATGACCTGCTACGCAAACTTCATCAAACATAGAACTAATACCTCCCAAGAGGATAACATATTTTTTAAGGTCAAAAGTCAGGCTGAGGTTAAAGGTTCAGGTCAAAACCTTAAGTGGATGCAGACCAAATGGCTTATATTGAAACATGGCCATCAAACTTAATACAATGAATAATCTTTATGCAGGAAAGATGATTCACAAGGGTTGATAATGCCAGAGGCCAAATTTGAAGGCTCTAGTTCAAAACCTTGTAAATGAAAGTATTGAATACTTAATCAGTCTACGTCAAACTTTGAATAATTCATTCTCATGAGGATTAATTTTTCAAGTCAAATGTTAAACTGAAGAGTACAGCAAATCGAGTCAATATGTATTGTACTTACTTCTATGAGTCGAGGTTGACCAAATTGTATTCCTCTCGAGTGAGAGGTAACGATAAAGGTCCTGCATTACTAAAAACCTGCCACCCAAGTTATTGCTTTCATTGCTGTAGGTTTATCTTTACAGTTATTTTTCAACCACTAATTGAAAACTTGCAACTTATAGTCAGTGTTGATTTAGAACAATCAATAACCACTACAAATTGTATCAAAAGGATTCATAAAGAATTTATTAATGCCCACAAAATACTCACAATAACAACTACAGAAAGACAATCTCAGGGAAACTTAAAGACCTTTGTAGGAAAATCGTCAAACAAAACAAATAGACTGCATAAGTTAGTTTAATATCATAACAGTTGTATTCGGCCATGCTCTATTATATCTATGTAAGTATATGGTATAAAAATTGAATATTCAGTGCTAACAATGAAAAGGAAATATCCAAATCCTCTACCAAAGCGCCTGCGAAAAAAAATTATTTAAAATCCATTGAATAAATGCATTGACATAGATAAAGAGTTTGATGGCAAATGAAAAGAGAGCTTAAACAAATAAATTATTTTATTAATAAATAACGTGTACTTCATAGCATAGAGTATAGAATGAAGATGATTCCAAATGTTTGACCATGGTTTGACTAACTTTCACACACCCATTCATCATTATATATATGTAAACCTGACAAAACTAATTAATCCAACCTTGTTTCATAAATATGATAGCGGTAAATCCAACTATCTTCCTTTAAGAACGAATAAAATCAACTTAGTTAAAAAAAATTGTTGTAAGCAGAACTGTGAAACTGACTCGATGATTGTGTTTTTTCTTTATCGACAACTTCCTACATTTGGACCTAGTTTTCAACACCATTGGCATTCGAGTATAGGAACTAAAACGATATAACCGAACTTAAGAAATAGTATATTTAAATAAACAATTCCTTGCCGAAATCCATAAAAAATATGAGATTTACTCAGGTGATCCAGAGGAGTAAGCAGTGACCACGTCTACTGACTAGCTGTGGCGTAGCTTCCACTAAGACAGTGAGGTAACTCCCTCGCTATAAATGTTTAACCACGGAGAAGATGAGAGACGGAAAAAGAAAGATAAATGCATAAAGAATTTATTAATGCCCACAAAATACTCACAATAACAACTACAGAAAGACAATCTCAGGGAAACTTAAAGACCTTTGTAGGAAAATCGTCAAACAAAACATTTCATTTGCCATCTCCGGGTGCGGGAATTTCTCGCTGCATTGAAGACCTGTTAGTGACCTTCTGCTGTTGTCTGTTCTATGGTCGCGTTGTTGTCTCTTTGACACATTCCCCATTTCCATTCTCAATTTTATTCCAAAGTATAGAGTGAAAACGGTTCCAACCATTTGACTTATATAAACTTTACTTACACACTTATTCTTCGTTTTTGACTTGACGATCATGAGCGTAAAAGAGTTGGTCCAACTTTGTTTCATAAAATTGACCAAGGTAGATACAAATGTCTTGTTTAAGGATTTGTTGTTCTCGTTCTGAATAAACCCTAGAGGTTGAATTGGGTGTAGAAATATGATAAACCCTACAGACTTCTCACATTCGGCAGTAAAACACTGCACGATAAAGAATCATTGCGACAACTTTTTCAGGGGTCTGTATAGGGTCTCTTACAAGGCTAAATTTCTGTCCACTCCTTATCTAGTTACAGTAAAAATTCGTGCGTTTCATCCTGCTCGATCCATTCTGCAGGACCTTCCTATTGGATCATTGTTGATTTGTTCTCTTTCAACCAAACAATGCTGATTTTTTTATATAAAAAGAACAGGTTTTAATTTTTATTATGCACATTTTATTATGAGTATAGCAAGATTTGGTACATGTATCTACAAAAGAAGAAATTTCGTATAGTTGGATCCTCAATCCTAACTCAATTTAGTAGTATATTTTCAAACCTTGTTCTCATACTCTTTTTATATTTTGAATTTGAAAAAAAGAACATTTATTATTAGAAAAATATTTTATATCAGACAATCCTGTTATTAAAGTAACAGATAACCATGCAGAAATATTGCATTAAGTCTAAACTATACTAGTTTGTCTGGTGAGTTTTTATTGTACATGTTTGAATAAAATTTTATCAAGAGAAAAAAGTAGTCGAACTACATGTACTGTATCACTAGCCTGTCAACACTGAGGTTGTGAGTTCTAATCCGACACGTGGCAGGTGCGTCCGACTCCAATCTTAATTGACTATGATTGTCAGTTTTCCTAGCGAAGGTCGCACTGTGTCTAAACTACCCCGGCGAAAAATGTTTGGACTCAATAGTATCTAATGTCCGGTACGGTGACGGACAATCAACAGACAGAGAAAGGTAGAATTTCTGTTTATTTATTTGTTGTTTTAATGATATAGAAGAATATACATACACATATAACTATTTTCGATAGTGTGATGTAATATTTTCTACCACCGTTCTAGATTTATGGAAAAATAAGTAAAAAGGCACATGAAAATGGTGAATTGAGTGAACCCCGCCTCGAATTTGTTTAATTTCTCTTTAAATTGAGCACATTGTACGGAAAGAAATGTACGGAAAGAAAGATATTAACTCGGAGATTTTAAGACTTGTCACTATGAACACCTCAATATTTGCATGTCTGTGCATGGAATGAAAGAAGTGGGTCATGTCAAAATTGAAGCACCCGGTTTTGTCAATGTGTACGACCCGGTTTTGTCCTTAAATTTCACAAAGCAGACCCGGTTTTGTCATAGAAAATAATGCATAATCGCATGACGAAAATTAAAATATGGCGTTCAATAGCTGTTTGAGGGATCGTTGAATAACATTTTCATCCAGAGGATAACTTATAACCTTTTTAAATCCGTAAACACTAGAATTCCTGCTATATTAGAACAAAGCAAATTTCAAGTTTGTTTTGTATAAAAAAAAAGAAGGAAAAATTGAAAAAAAATGAAAGTTTTGAAATGGAATTAGATTTTTTTTTATATCAACTATGTAAATTTAAGTGTTCAAACTTAATTAGTGTACGGCCTTGAAAATTTAAGGACGCACATTTGATATGTGATTTTCTGGGACAACAAGATGGTTATCTTAGTGTTCCCCTCTGCTTAAAGGGAAAACAGTATAATCGTTTGAAAATAAATATTCTGAAACTAAACGTTCATTATAAAGCAAGAGAATTAGACAAATGTATGTGCATGCAGAATCGCCCAAGAAAAGGAATTTACATGCGGCGCAAAGGATCACAATAATAGTGCGTTAAAAATCTGTTTACCCCTCCTTGTTACAATAATACTAAGTATAAATTAGTATAAAAGTCTTAGGCCATCCGGAAATTGCAATGATGATTATTTGATTAGTAATTTTATAAATAAACGATGTTTTATCTCTCTCTTTTTTTTTTAACATTAACAAATTCTTTAATGCACTAGTATCAAGTTGTTAACAACTGCCCTATATAGTACAACTATTATATATAGGTTTATATCTTCATTGTATAATGATTATCGTACAAATGCTGTACAATTTAAGCAATTTGGTCAAGTTTTAAAATTGTCAATATGCAAGGGCGGACCGAGGCCATGATTTTTGAAAGGGGCGTATTCATAAACGGATTTTATACCGCCGAGCGTAGCAAGGGGAACTTTTTTTTATCGATTTTATACTAAATAAAAAATCA